GAATGAACCGCCATGTCAGTAAAAGACGCGTCTTCAAAGCGAAACAATCCTTACGACTACTTTTTGTGCCAGTAAACGGCACTAAATAAGCATCTACGGGGTCATTCTCTTGAGTAGAAAAGTATTTTTTTTCCTTTCTGAGGTTGTGGAGACTCACGCTAGCTATAGACAGTGATAGACGCAGCCAGAGCAGTGTAGTCGTTTCAGTGGAGTTCCCGACACTCCGCCCCCTACATTACAACATGGTCCCGTCTGCATGGAGGAGGCAGTGATTTGGTTGAGCGGCACCGTTAATGCTCCCTTGAGTAGTGTTGCTTCGTTTATCCCCCTTCACCTACAGAAAAAACACTCTTTTGGATAAAACGAGGGAGAGGTTAGGTTTCTTTTTCGATTCTCACATTGTTAGTGGAGGTGGGAATATGGGTACTGGAGGAACATGGCTTTTGAGTACAAATTAAAAGAAAAATAGAAAAAAAAATCTTTTTGATGTCCGAAGGTTTATAAATTTTAACGGTGTATTGTCTCAAAATGGGTTAAAGCACACAAGCAAATGCCTATGATAGATAATCAAATAACGTGTGTCACATACTTGTGACGATACCAAAAAGCGCATCGGAAATGACGTAATATAACAAAAGAAAAGGAATTATTAAACTAACACGCAACATTCACCTTTGTCGTTGTTTTTCTAGGCCAGGTGTGGCAAAGCTTACAAACCTAAGGTAAGGCGTCGCGGTCAGTTTTTCACCACCTTAGCTCACAAAACACTGATAGAAAAAGAGAAGTACATGCACTAAGACGTAGGAATCACATATTCTTTTTAAATTTGCATGATTGTTTCCAGTCTATCAAAGTGGTAGATTGGAGCCGCCGACTGATGGGACATCGTGTTGCCAACCTCCCTAAGATTGGTTCTTTTGTATTGTTTTCTTTTTTCTGGAAACAAACAAGGGTTATAAGTGGTTATAGTTTCCAATGGGAGCACTAGCCCAAAATTTCATGAATTTTTCCCTTTTTATAAAAAGCACACTTGTTGCAGTGGAGTAAGGTCATTTATTGCAATGAAAAATGATCATTCAAGCCAGCATTTTACCACTCATTTAAAGTAAAACAGTCATAAATTGAGTATCAAGCATTAGTTCTAACAAATTAATAAGAAAAGAAGAAATTTATGCTTTTTCGTTTCTACATAATAACTACTTAATTAAAAAGGTACGAGTCTGATTGGTTAATTTTTTAAAGGGCTACTTAAAAGTGACTTGGTTAGCCAATCAAAAGCGGGACTTATAAAAATACACATTTTGCGGTAATGAAATATCAAATGAGAGAGGAGTCAAATTCTTGAGTCATTTTTGGGTCAAAATGACTTGTTGTGGTGTATGCTAAAGAGAACCTATTCCAAAATATCATTATAACCTGATAAAAAGATTCGATTCAAGGCTATCGGGTGGACTCGGTTCCAAAGTCTGTTGGACCTTCTTGCCAAATATGTTGCGTGGTATTTGGACAAAGTGCGGCAATAAAAAGTGCGACTTTTAGGCCAATTTATGCTTTAATAGTCCCAAACAGGAGTCTGAGGCTCTAAAATGCTTCGAGAGCAAATGTCCATTGGAGGCTTCTCGGAAGTCGCAGATTGATTAAGGAGAGACGATATCCGGAGTCAGCGCCTTTGCCTATCAGACCGCTACTTTGGTATACACGACGATCCAACGAGAGGTTTTTTTTTCACCCACGCGTAGAGACGGTATCTAGGATGTGTCTGGCAGTGTGTTTATCATTTGAGTGCCATATTTAGCTCTCGGTACTTCCGTGCATCATGGATGCAATTGGTGGCACCACCTCTTTTCGATTACCCATCAATCGTGTCCACTGCTCCAACAATCACAAATGCGAACATCATAGCAAGCTGCGAGTCATGTTCAGACTGCCAGTTCAAATGTCTTGGAGCCGTTAATTAAGCAGGGGCTACCTTCCTTTAGCGCTTCGGATGTGTCAAAAACCCTCTCTGATTGGATGTTAGAGATGGCAGAGGTAAAATTAGTTGGTGACATGTTCATAGCAAAGATCATGGATCCGACTTTCATTGTAGGTGACCAACGTCTCCTGGATCGTAGGTTGGCATAAGGCATTGCGCAGCACTTGAAGCTTCTTGGTGGTAGTAGGCGGGATTACAGGCCATCCACCAAATTGAAATTGGGGACCTTATCGGTGAAATCTAGATGGAGGTATGATCAAAGTTTCTTTAGCGAAGTCTGCATTACAGCGGGAGAATGACTGCTCCTGGGTCACTGGGATTAGGCGCATCTGATTGATTGTAGATGGCTTTGATAGGCGCCTGCGTCGCCAGTTGAAACCCAAAAGAATTTTCAGCACTATTAAGACCAGAAGGTTCCCCCTAACATGACTTCGTTTTGGTTGGCCATTTGGCCCTTTGATCAGGGCTAAAGCCTCTCTGGCCTCCTTCACGGCTTGCTGGTATGCCTTATTACGGATTCAGGAAAGACTGAGAGGACTACGCGCCCCCGATCCAGAAAGACACCGATCTGGTAGCTAATGTGACTGGTTGTCTACGTTACCATTTCCACGGCTCTGGTTGTAACATTGAAAGGCAGCAATTTAGGAAGGAAGAATTGAGGAACCACGCGGCCCCTTGAGATTACATGTTATAGCAAATAACACCGCATCTTAGACAAATGTTCCCATGACTGGCGAGTGGCGCATGTAATGCACTCGTTGTAACGCCTTGTCTAGTCGAGATCCTAATAAAACAGGGAAATTAGCCCGTCTTTAATGCCGCTGATGAGGGGAACATAATGTCCTGGATACGCGGAAATGGCTGAGATACATCAGTTGTGGGGAAATTATCAAACACCTTTTTTCTAAGGCAAGTTAACGACTACCGTTGATTCTTGAGGCACTAACTACGATATGGTGGCCGATGCCGTGGACCCATTAATCAAGGTGAGTGCAAGGAAACCGCGCTCGTGTTTACCTACCCTCGAACGCATACTTAGCCATCCAATGTGTATTTCCCACTGGCCGAGCCTGCGACCCTCAACTTTTATCCCACCTTAATGTGGCCCAATAAGAAATGGGACAGCTTTTGGGGAAGTTAATGACAACAAACAGGAACAGGTAGAGGCAATTAGGAAAATATTGACTTAGCCCTCAATATTGGAGGATTCCTGGAACATCGCTATGGTAAGGATCTTTCCAGAAGTTCTGCCTTTTATAAGAAAGTTTTTTAGGAACACGACCAGGAGATGTTTACATCACTTTAGACAGTTAACAACTCCCGTCATCATCCAGGACTTATTCTTCTTGCAGGTTAAAACAAAATGTGGACATTTGACGTAAAGGCAAAGACTTTGGCCCCCCTACCCCTACTTCCATTGGGCGTAAGTCAGGGGCTACGAGGTGTACGTACGTGACGGGTGGCTGGTGGAGGCATGAGGTGGTCCCGTTCTAGTGTATTTATAACATACTGACTGACCTTGGCTTTACAAGTGACTTTTGGGATATTTAAAGTCCATTTGTACATGACACTAACCAATCAAGGGGGCTCTACGAGAATGCGAGTTTCAAGGTCCTCTAAAATGCTCGGGAAGCACTTAGGAAGTGGAGGTTTTCTGGTTAAAAAACAAAATTGGCAAATCCAGCAGTGTCAAAAAAGGAGAATGCATAAGGACCATAAGTTTGAAATTTTTGCCATTTGAAAAGACCCGATTTCGTGGATCATGATTAAGAGACGTAGGCTTGACAAAACAAACAGATGCAAGGCAATTTGCTTATTTTAAACAAGGATTCAACCCCTTGTTCCAGAGTCCAAATAGATCTATCCAGTGACAATTCTTTCATTTATTCTCCCAAAAATACCGACATTTTGCCATGAATGAGAGTATCGTCAACACAGTAATCAAAATATTTCCTTTTAAAAGTAGGGACGTTCACCAATTTAAGAGGCAAAAGTTTAAAATTTTGCTCGAAATTCTTAACGAATATGCATTTAATTTCTACCTAAATATGGAAGGCCTAAATTTAGGCACACTATTCTTTTTTCGATTTCCTCTATTTTCCAGTCCTCCTGATAAAGTCTTATAAAATTGTTTAAATACACTTTTAAGTATGTATTCTTTCGAAATAGATTACAATTTAGCAAGCGAATTTTGTTCGTATGATTTGCAAATTCACTGGTAAATGGGCCACTTTTTACCGTCTTTTTATTCACTTACAGCAAAGTAAATAATTGCAGGATTATTCTTACTTTTATCTTTCAAAATATCTAATTAAGTGGGGGATAAAGGCTCCGTCTCAAGAGACCTTTCCTCCGACCCACTTTTCTCCAAGCTGTGGTCTCGTAGGTGATCGTCTATCTAATGCCTAGTCAAGACGGTATTCATCACCCGGAGGAATGGCATAATGGCAAGTGGGGAGGATGAGGCAGGGCAATGCATATCGCCTCACTGATCAATTTGAGGCAACATTTGGAAGGCAATGAAGACTTTCTTCACAAATCCAATCTTGACCTATCCTATCTGCTCTTGAATCGAGCATTTTACTTGCTCGCCCATAAGTTGTGCGATTTTGCGTCAACGTGTCAACAATTCTGAAGTCCTCCCCATACACACACACCCATCCCCAGAGAAACAGCACAATCTTCTGGGCAAAAAGTTGTTGGCGTCTTATGCGTGTGGAGTGGGTAATGGGTGGATTGCTTGGAGGTAACTAATGGGTGTGCGCGCTCGCCTAATGGTGTAGTACACCCCAGGACCAGTCGTCAAGTTGGATAGCTGCACCAAAACCCTTCCCCAAACTGTGAAGCTAAAGAACCTATTCACAGACGTACTAATACCCATGAAATCTGTTTGCCCGCTTGTGATATTTTTCCATTTTTTTCGTTGACCGACATGTCGGCCTCGACTCGTACACAATTCTTCGTCAATTTCTCCAATAATGGAGTACCTTACCTCCACCTCTTTTCCACATCTACTATTCAGGAGGGCTACTCGGGAAGTCCCTAGTACCTTAGAAACCACTCTATCCTCACAAAACCGACACTAAACTGGCGCTTGATGACAAAAGGATTCAAGATAATAGGGAAATTGCACAAAATACATATAAGGGTCATTCCAACCGGGTGTATTAGGAACCAGTTACATCCTCTCCGAGGATATTGAAAGAGGGCCGTGGATGGACCATCAGATCGCCAAGATGATGGCCGAAGACGCCTTTCGTCTCCTTGCAGTCTCATTTTCCCGAAGCAAGCCATCATCACAACATTATAAGTTTGTGCCTCCAATGAAGCCATCCACTTTTCATCAACGATGCCTTCTAAGTCCATGCATAGGTGAGACGTCATTAATGCACTTTCCTCTAGCACCGTGGGTTATTTCGTCTTAGCTAAGGTAAACACCTTCACAGTGGACCTTCTTGGAGAATCCAAGCCGGTTTCTTCAAATCACCAACACTGCCACACCATCATATCTTCTACTTCGACAACTACTCAAATGGTTTATCAGTAGCGAACCCTTTAAAATTTTCCTATTTCTCCATCCAACTTGTATTTTGCCTGATAGGATCATACTTTTGTTTTGCCTATTATTCCTTTTTAATACAACTAAAACGGTGGACGTTTGCACTCAGCAAGACTGCATGATGATGAGAATGTCAGCAAAGGTGTTTTTTGGCCTGTCCATTGTTTAAAGCTTGTTGGTGGTGCGTTGTATGCGTAGTCCAATCCACCGTGCAAGTGAAGTCAGCACGGCCAATTTATCATAATTCTAGAGGACTGTTTTGCCCTGTTGGCTGGCTGACTGGCCGGCTGGCTGCGGCATGACAGGCAACAACACCGCGGTTTATGTTAAGTATGGGATAAGCAAAATCTTCCACTGATGCGTCTACCATAAACAAAGTACTTTCTCTCTCTCTTCTTAGAAAAATGTCTTGTTGGAATAGTTAGCATTCCTCAAGGATCTGTTGACCCCCTCGCCAGTTTTTCTCTTTTTGGAAGAGCTAGAAACATGATTTTTCCATTTTCTAAGTGTTGGATTATTTAGGCAGCGCCTTTTTCATTTTCAGTGACTAGAGGATAGGAATTTGGTTAGTTTAAACAACACGAATGGATTTTAAGTAAAATTGGGAACTTTTTTTTTGTAATTGTCTTGCATGTTCCACTGTACTGAATAGTTGTGCAAATATGGTGGACCACTTTTCTTAACGTCACTCAAGGCGCTAGAAGATTAGGGATAATTGATAAAGGTGGGAATGGCTTTGGCAAATCCTCAGACATTCACCTATACGCAACAAATGACCTAGGTAGTGATTTTTTCAAAAGCCAACACTCTGATGATGCCTGAGGCTACTCAAAGTCCTGGAACGCCAAGACGGAGGCACGAATAGCAGAGACTGTAAAGCCCACAGTGCAAAAAGGCTTCTACTTCCTTTTTTTTTGTTAAAACTAAGTCGGTTGTTAAAAGAGAAGTGAGAATTTATGTTGTGACATTTGACGTGCCAAAACCTTTCTGTATAGAGAGCTGCAGAATCAACACTCCTACGTATTGACGGTGTCCTTGCTTACGACAGTACAGCCAATCACTGGCGTTCGAGACGAACGTGTGACCAGATATGGGCTCTACAATAAAGTACAGTAACTTCCCAGAGGTGGCTGGCTCAGGATGGCTCCTAGGCAATGACTTACCATATGTGGTTGTGCCCTGAGTATAGCCCGTGACTCAACTAGAATGCCAAGCTTTTTAAACAGGTTGTGTAGGATGACTGCTCTATTCCCCTAAAAGTCCTTCCAAGTGTATTTCTCCCTGTGTAGTCAACAAATCAGGACAAATGTCTGGACACAGACCATGGCATTGACCACCTCCTCCAGTGAGAATAAACGCCTCGCTTGCAAGGAACGCCCCTCACTCATGAACCCGGGAGAAATTCGAGGGTAGGACATTGAGAAAATGGGTCTTTACACCCTACCAAAAAACAAAAAAATTTGTTGTCGGAGAAGAGAAGAAAATCTACGATTCTGGTTGGTAGGTCGGTAATTGGTCAATCGTTATCCCCTTCTGGTGGAAAGCAAAACTCGCAAACACCAGCACTCACTTCGTCCTCATTACTAACTGATGTAAACTTTCCCCATTATTTTTATTAATGTTCATCCAAAAATTCCCTCCTGCCCTCTCACCCTCTCCCCTTCTCCACTCTGTCTTTCACCCTCGCATTTATTAGCCCCAAATAAATTCCCCATTTGTGTGGGTGTAGGTGAGCGTGTACGTTTAAATGGTGTGAAAAAAAGAGGAGTCATAAATTGCCCCAGGCTCCAGTAAACTGTCATTAGGAGGGCACATTTGGGTGGTCATTTTCAGCTCTAATTGCTTTGTCTTGTATTCTGTCACGTACAGGCTCCCTAAAATGCTCGAGATGAGTCAACGGATTTGACGTTTTGACGGGAGGGAAAGACAGAGACTTGGGTGTTCTTGCAAGCATCTGCTGTCCTCCTCAGAGACTGACCGATACGGAAAGGTAGACGTGCGGCCAGAATGCATCCCTCTTTCTCCGAATTGTTCTAGGTGAGGCGACTCCACAGGAAGAAGTGAGGTTCAGGCGTTCCCATAAGCCTTGCCCGCATCAAATTTATCTAAGAGATCAGGCAAGAAGAGAATGAAGGGAAGTTCATACCAGGTAAACAGTCATCACAGTAACAAACCAGATATGCGGGAACTTTCCTTGTAAAAAAATTATGCTTTGGAGGGAGGAGGATGATTGCCGGGGCGGGGGGAAGGGTGGGTCAGGGCAAAATGGAAAATTAACAGTTGTTGAAGGTGAAAATAACATCTTGTCGATTTCATCGAAAACATCCTCTGCGTTGATGCTTGGCTACCTATTACACCCTCTACCCTATCCCGAGGTAGTACGAAACGCGGCATTTGATAATATCAAATCTGAAGGTCGCAGAAGAGGCACCTTTACTGTGGATATTTGATTTTGCATAGAATCGTCTCTCAAAATGGATCCATTGAAATCAATCAGACATTTGACAAATGTTTCCTGTTCTATTTTCTACAAGAGGGCAATTAACAACTTAAGTGACACCAACGCCCAGAACCATCTGCAACCATCGTTACCCCGTGGGACAAAAAATATACCTCCTTCCACTTCCTTCTGGCTAACGGAACTCTGCGTAAATGATCATGCAGGAGTTTTGTCCCTTCCCTTTTCTTTCTTCTATTTCAGAGGCTTGGATTAGGAATGCGTCTTGCGGAAGACATTGGTCTCTCTACAGGACGTGGGGGTCTACTTTGCTTCCCCTGCCAGGAAATTGGCCCATGTTGCTTGCTGCCTACCCAAAAAATGAGATTCAAATAAGAGTGGTGCCATTAGAGAAGTCAGCTTGAGTAGTTCGTCCTCCTAGTGGATGGAAGTAACTTGACCACCCTGAAACAGTACCATATCAGAGAAAGTTAAAAATGCGAAATCAATGGGTCTGTCAAAGTAACCGAAGACCTCTGAATCTTGCATCCTATTTGTTCGCCACGTGGATTATTTTCGCAGGGCTAAATAGACTAAAAAAACTAGAGAGTAACCACAAGAATGTGTAGAGCCTGTAAGAGAAGAAAATCACCTTAGAGTCCTTAATGTCATTGGCATCACGGCTCTCGCTTTCCCCTCGCCTCCCCCTTTCTCACCATTCCTCGCTGCTCTTCTCCTGTCCTGTTCATTCCTCTCCTCTTTTCTCCACTTTTCTTTCTGTAAGAATAGTGAATTTGGTCACTGAAAATGACAGACCTTTGGTTCATTTCTCTTTCTTTTTACCATTGAAAGATATGTAACTGTGTAACAGTCTTGGAAATAGTGCATACAACTACGTGGATATTTTGATTCGCCGTAGTTTCTGCTCCTTGATTTTTGCATTTTGTTGTACACACTCGCAGTTTCTCTGCCTCTCTGAGTGCTAGCGGGAAATAAAATGTCATGGAAACCGGAGCAAATAAAACCGCACACGCCATTTATTAACTGATGACAGAAGACTCTAAAAGTTACTCTATTATCCCACCCTTCTTCTTTAGCTGACGTCTTCTTAAAGAGACGAGCGTCGTAGTTACTATTCCATTTCCAGGCAACCCTGCGAATGTGCCTTGTATGGCATTAGGTCAATCGTTGAAAGTCAATCAACAACCGCGGCTGACACATCCGATTCATCTTGACACCAAAGTGGCTTCTCTAAGCTATTCAGGACTAGAGGCGCTTTTAATGGGAGGATGGAAGGCCTGGGAGGGCTACACTTCAGCCTCCAAATTTTCTCCCACATCTATCCGCTCATCAAGTAATTAACATCCTCCTTCACATGACAGACGTGGCAGACAAATGGACAACAAAACAAACAGCATTTAGAACTGTTTTCTTCAGATCTTTTTCTCTGAAAAACAAATTTTCTAAGCCAGCTGACAAACTTATTCGACCTTCAGCAGTCACTGCAGTATTCGGTCAGACCGCCGCTAATCAGCTAAGTTCTCTCTGGCTCCAGACAGTCAGGGAACCAAACCTTTTTTGCCATTCATTTAGTACTCCAATTTTGTCTTTTTTTTCTCCTTTTTGATTTGACATAAAGAAAATAGGGAGAGCCAAAACATGGCCCCCCTCTCGCCTTTCTTCCCGTCACCCCACCCTTGCCCCGGGCCCCACCATCCAGCCTACCTTGCTTACCCCTCTTAATCGCATTGCAAATTCCTCCCCATTTTTCTCGCCTGTTTTTGTTGAACGAAGACTTCAGACAATGACAGAGGCGAATATGGCTTAGCACTTTTACCTGCTACCGTGGATTAGGGAAATTAGAAACTACGGCGATCTGCAAAAATTCATCTCCTACTTAGGACTTTATATTGACTGGTTACTTAAAAAGGGACTTTTCAGATCAAAAGATAGTTAGGGCTGGTTTTTGTGGGCATCTGGCTATTAGACAAAGGCATTACAAAAGTCAGACATCTGCTGTGAATGGCGAAACTGGTGAGGCGCAGTAACAATAAAGGTGTTATCGGGATGACATCAACTTTTACCATCACCCCTGGTACTAGAAAGATTTACGAATGGCTTTCAATCTCAACTCTAAAATTGTTTTTAAAAGTTTTGTTTAAACACTGTAAAGAGATTATAGTTGGCTAGCTTTCAATCTCCACCTCGATGATCAATAGGGTAGACTGGATCAGCCTTGGGACTAATAAGGGAACATCGATCCCGGAGGAGGAGGAGCAGGAGGAGGAGGAAGAGGGAGAGGAAGAGGTATCACTCATCAAACCAATTTTTGGAAGATATCAATAACCATTTAAAAAGTCCTGGCACACTCCTTTGGACAAAACAACATTTGAATAATTTATCCGTTTTAATTAAGCTGTGCTCTCACAGCTCGACTCGGGGTTCGCGTATGTTTGCCAGCGGTGATGAAAACTCCCCACTGTTTATCTGTCTGGGATAGGTAAATAGTGAATAATTCATTGGCTTATTTCATGCTCCAAAAAATAACGAACTTCATCCTTCTTTTCAGGCATTTTGCATAAGCTTTAGCAAATATAGGCCTTTTGTTTAAATGGTGCTTTTGTTTGGGCGGAGTCTTCAATGCCGACCGGTGCTCTACTTAAACTTAATGCTTTCCAGCTTTAAAATACAAACTTAAGTAGTATATTTGGATAATTGGATATTAAAGTAATAAAAAGATGCTGAATATTTATTAGGTTAACTTCTACATTAAATAAGGTCATGTTTATCACAAACTGTGAGGTATTTCCTTTCCCCTAATACTTTATATTGGCACTTGTAGGCAGCAATTTGTTATAAAAAATATAAAAAAGAGGAATTTATGTGGAAATTAAAACAGATTATACAAATTTTGTGCGAGTTATTTATATTTTTTCTCAAATTGGTAAGGAGAGAAGGGAATTGCCACGACCCCAGGGGCTTATGATCCCAACCGGTTAGGCGATTGTCTAATGGCTACACAGTCTTGCGCATTGTTCTTTGGTTCGTCATTCGGCCCACCTCCCACCCGGTACCTCACCTGCACCAAATGACAAGATGAGGCCAGTGTGACTGATTCCACATTACTCACTGTTCGCTAGGAAAAATCGCCCCAAGTCAGAGGACTTCGTGGTCCACTAATCCCATCAGTCCAGTCCACCCGCATCTCCTGTTAGAAATGCCCAAAATTATCGCATATAAAGTGGTTTTTAAATAAGCCATTTTTTTTCGGTGTAGTCGGGCTAGATACAACTATATTAAAAAAGGAAAAACTTGGGAGAATTTTTAGCAAATCTGCCATCTCACTTCGGACGGTGTCATTAGGTGAAGTCAGTCTTGAGCAGAGCATTAATAAAGCATGTGCAAGACGGGCTGACAAGCTGTCAAGAGAGGTGGATGAAGCGATGGCTGCGTTCATACCTTTACAGCTGTATCTTGTGTTCTTTCCCATTAGGGAGAGGAGGGACCGACGGAGGAAAGGGAAGACGCGGGGAGGAAACGTAAAGGAAAGCTAAAATATACACGCACACATTTGCCTACATTTGAGTACTTAAAGTGAGTCTATGGCGCCGTAGAAAGTGAGAGGAGAAAAAAACTACAAACTTACTCAAATTGCTTTCCAACGTAAGGTTACAGAGCATTTCATCTAGGTCTCCCTCCTGCGTGTGTATGTAGGGGTATACACTCATTCAAAGAGGCAGTGAAAATCGGTTGGAGGGTAACGTAGAAGGCGGAGGTACGCTGTTCCTTCTACAGAGAAAAGTTCTGTAAGATGAGAAAAAATGTCTTCCGCGAATTTTTTCATCTTTTTTTTAAAAATTATCACCTATAGAAGAGGAATGAGAAATGACTTTCTCTGTGTATGTGTGGGTATAACGTGAGACGAACAAAGCCATCAACCTATTACCCACTCCATGCCTCCAAGACGTGCAACACTTTCCCCTCTCCTTAAAGAACATGAAAGGCGAAGCTTACATAAGACCAAATCAGTTCTTGGTGTACCTTAAAGGTGTGCTGATATTCCTCCTTTAACTTAGTCTTCTCCAGTAGCAGTCAGGACAGTAGGAAGTGGGAGATCAGTCAATAGGAACATGGTCCTTAAGAACCCCTACCGGAAAAAAGGTGAGGGGAAGGCGAAACCTCTCATCCCCTCTTCGCCAAATCGTCTGGTGATTTTACAGGCCTCAGGTGGCTACCACCTAATCTTGGCATTCGACAGTTACATGACAAGGAAAGAAGTGAGATGGCCAGAAGGCCAGACGTTCCTTTGAATGCATCTGTTCGGTGGAATACAGGCAGGTTGATTTGACCTCGTGACTGTAACTGCGCCATCAATCCTAGAGGAGGGCAATGCAGTGGAAAAGGTGGGAAGAGAGATTGTGCTACACTGTCTCCCCCTGAGGTATGTTTAAATTTATGGTAAAATGCAGACGTTATCACTAATGCGCCTTCTTCAGACTTCCTACTCCCGCTACTGCAGTTGGTGCACATGACCTGAATTACTGAGATTCTTCGACAGATGATCCAGAAAGAAAGGAAATTTATAAACAAGATTGTTTACCCCGTAATTGGAAAATCCGAGTAAGATGTACAATCAACTTGAACACATTAGGCACTTCAAAGAAAAAGCGAGCAACTGACAGTGGCTTAAAAGCACACTCAATTCCTAAAATATTTCAACCTCATTTCAGCGCGGTGGCTTCTCGTATCACCTCGTCTCAAGGCAGAGGTCAACCTCCATCCTTGTCGAACTGCTGGATGCGGGGGAGGACGAGGTGGGGGCCACAGATGGCATTAACAGTCACCAAATGGCGGAGGCCTAGGAGAGACACAGAGCGCTGAGAACAAAAGTAAGGATTACAAGAGATAAATCAACTATTGAAGGTGTCCCTTGCCTTAACTGCCTGTTGTCCGGCCCCTAACGCTCCTTTCTTTTGCGTGGGATGAATGTCAAGCAATCGTAGAAATATTATTCACTTGTCACTTTCCCTTAATAACGTTTACATATCTACCAGTAGATTTTAGAAAGGCCAAAATGACTTTTTTACGCCAAATTTTGGCAAAATGGAGGGGACTTACACGAAATGGAGGGAAAGGGACCTATTACCGCCAGATATTAAAAGTCCTTTATTCCCTTTTTTTTCTCAAAGATGTTACAAATTCCTATCAGGTTGACACTTTTCTTCTTAGTGAAGGTCAAGCCTGTTGATTTGCAAAAAGGAAGCTGTGATTTTTAAGATCCTAGCCCTATTTTACACCACAAGGAAGAAGAGGAAGGAGGAGCGAAAGGGACTCGCTAGTTCCAGAAATTTACGACGAATATATTTGCTTCCTTTTTTGCGGATGATGAGTTTTCTTCCCCCCCCCCCCCTCCCCCTACGCCTCAACCTCCGCCTCCGTCTCTGCCGCCTTTTACCATATTCTTGGACTTTTTCATCTCTAGTTGTTACATTTCAGGCTTTGATTTGCGCCTGAGCAGTATGTACACACTTGTAACTTGAGGCTCTTAGACTATCTTTTCCTCGCCTTTTTACGACTTCCGCTTCCTCCTGAGGTGTCTCATCCCTCCTGGAGGGATGACTCAGAGGTGCAGTGGCGACAGAAGTAGGCAACCACTAGCACACATCCACCAGTATCCTCGCCTGAAGGCATTATACACACCCTACAGGATAATTTGTTATATAGGCACGCAACTTACTGTAGGACCTCATCCAGACTTTGTGCTAAGCTTTTTTACAAACGGAGAATAAGATTACACCAAAGGGTAAAAAATCTACAGTTCCAACCGAGTCGGTAGCACATACTACTACCAACGCTATAAGCAGTACTCCACTTATAATTTGGTATCACTGCATTATTTTCGTTGCTTGCATTTGCCAGGAAATCTCTTGCCAATCATACAGGAGGCACATATGTACTTAATTGGCTAGGCTAAGCCTACGATCTTGCCAACTTTGGTAGCCATTTTGATGCCACAACCTTTCCACCTTGTTTATTTTCCTCCTGCCCTTATGGATTGCAAAGCAATAAACAAATATTTCTCGACTGCTGCATCTTATTATGTCTACAGGCAGGTCCTAGCCTGCCGGGCACTGGCGCATACTTACTTGTCTGACTAATAAAAGCGACTACCAACCAGACGTGAGGGTTGTCAGCAGGTCATGAAATATTTTACCCTTCAGAGTAGTAAATTAGTGAGGTTAATCGGTAAATAAAAATTGCAAAAATAAGTGGTTTCTTGAATTTCTTCTCCTTCCCTCCCCTCCACTTATTCTCGATTGTTGTTCCTTCATTTGCCATTTTTGTTGTCTTCTCCCTCTTGGGTGCATCCAGATTGCAGTGCCTAGCACAACATCTCACCCTCTCTCCAGTGGGACGTCCTCGTGAGTAAGTCGTGAAGGCGGTTTTCTTTTTCAATCCTTTTTCCCTTTTCCATTATCTATGCAGGTTCTTTAGTCGCCATAATTTTGTTCTACCACCATCTTAGTGTCCGAACCACAAACATCCACAACCCCCCCCCCCCCCCCCCACCTCGTCTAGACCTCGTGTGGGCAACTAACAGACATTCTTTCAAACAATCGGCACATTAAGCCTCCGAGAATAATCACTTGGCCAAAGTATTATGCTTTAAAAGGTACACTCTCCTGTCCGTCGCACTCCCAGCCCGAAATGCAAGTGTCTTCTTACAACAGGTAATTTACACCCATGAGATTTAAGCACTTGAGCACACCACTCTATTTAGATGGGTTAAAGCCCAGTCAAGTATAAAGTGGTAACATTTTTGCTGTAATATTCTTGTACTGTGTCGGCTTAGTCACCCTCACCCCCTCCCCTTGCGACCACAACTACACCACAACTGTATCTGCTTCAAAGCCAAACAACAAACACACAAAACCACCATCTTTTTCCCGTGGGTTTTGCAATGCATTTTTGCAGTCTGGTTAAAAGATGAGGGGAGAAGAGGTGGTGAAAGTGACACTTTACTGGCGTCAAATTTGTTAACTGTCTCCATTTTTGAACAAAGAAAGGGTGTCGAGGCGATTATGCTTTTGTAAATCAAGTCAATTTGGAGGGGGAAATTCAAGGCATCAAGGTATAAAATTTGGAGGGGGTGATAAGGTGTCTCCCTCCCTTTCTCTCCCCTCTCATCTTATTCCATCCAATGCAATCACGACCTGAAATGGAAATCTTCTCACGGGTAAATTATGAGGCCTCGAAGCTTCTTGCCTAAGACTGAGTTACCAGTCTTTAAGACTGGCTGTGTCTGGAGTAAAAGATTTGGCTAAGGCCAAATCTTTTCAAGCAGGATAAAGTGATTCCGGACTTTTTGTCAATTTTAAATTATTTCTTAGAATGAGGGACCCTCCTTAATGTAATCGCTCATCCAGCGATGCATCAACAAAACGGCATCTGAGCGGTGCAGGAGGCTACTAGGCCGATAACAAATTTAGACAATCTCGGGTCGAAACCGGCAATTTATGACATGGGAAAGGGATCCAGTCTAGGGGGAGCGGCGAGAGAGAATGGGAGAGCGACTGCTGGCAAAACGAGGTGGTTCCCTTTCCCTCATATTTTCATTGGCCACGCACATCATAACGACCTTAAGATCGACCAATCAGGGTATTGCAGAACTACCGCATAAATAGACGCTCCTAGTGAGCTGTTGGTTGTTTCTGTGGCAAAAGTGCTCAAATATAAGACAGTTGGGTCATGAGGAGGTCAAAGAAAGAAACTGGGAAAACCTCAAATCTCAAAGGATTGCCCACTTTTAAAGCGATTTCTCTACATATTCTCCCAGAATGCGGATGACTTTTCGACTACAAAAATCATTTCCTCCTGCTAAATTAGAGGGATTTTGATCATTAACGAACGTCATCTACAAAATCAAAGAAATTCACAGGCTTCGAAGTCTAATACACACGTTATTTTTTTATAGAAAATTCTCCAAACAATGTAAAATCAGCAACTTCAAGGTCACGCGTATTTTCACAATCCCTATTTCAAGCATTTCAGCATAGGCGTCAATAATTTCAAGACTTTATGAGTTAATGCTTGTGAGAACCGCATGAAATTCCCAATTTTTAAAAAAAATTCCTTTAGATTTTTCCCTGGCTTTCATCTTTTTGGGGGATTATCCTCTGGCCAAGTTAACTGATGTGGTCAAAACCACAGGGGAGGTGGTCTCTATAATTCATTTATGGAGAGGAAAGAGAGGATTTTGAAGGGAAAAATTCCTGTACATTATTTGCCACTCATCTCATGGTGGAGTGAGACGGAGAAAAGTGGTGTATTTGGAAAGAAGACTGCGCATAACATGGGCGTCACTCGGAGGAGCAGGAGATATAGAGAGAGCGGTTTCGAGGGGGGTGCCTGTTAGACAGGCCTCGTCTTAGTCATGTACAATTACGTTTAATAGATTTTCTCCCTCTAACATGTGCTTTGCTGTATATCCCCTTAAACATTTATAAAATTACCCTGCGTCACGTATATGTGACGAGTCTATTTTCCCGTCCAAATCTCAATTTTGGAGGTTTCGTGCTAGGTAGAAGTAAACTTGACAGTAACACTTTTCAAATGATCAAATAAATGTCAAATTCCGTCACTTTTTGAGGGATAAAACATCTAAAATATGCCTAATCCATGTTGCCTTTACTACCTACCGTAATCCACCGTCTTCATACTTATCAAAGATGTCATAATAATAGTCTCCTTTTTCTAAAAAAGTTTAGAATGCTCTAAAATATTCTCATTTCTACACTTTATTATTGATAAAATATACCCTACTGCCAAATAAATGAGAAGCACCATTTTGGAGCAGGGGAAAATATCAGTTAATTAGTAAAATCTCTACAAAATGGAGTTTCCCATAATTTTGTCAATTTGTTTCAGTAATGGAAGGGTTTCAAATTGGTCTTTTTGAAAAAAAAACAAAACGGTGGACCATCATCTCTGCGTATGGTAAGAGCAAGGAATCTGAACTGGCTATACTGCAGATACGAGCTGGCTAAGGAGTGAGAGAAAGGAAGAGGCCAAGAATGACCGTTTTCCAGTCATGCATAGTCACGGTAGCTATATGACCTTGACCTCACCGTACTGGACCAATTAGGAGAGCGCTTACATAAAAATGTCCTTGTGACTCATTTTAAACCATTTTTAATAAGTCTTTAAATTCATCCTTCTTTAAAGGTTACCAAAAAAGATAAAATAAAATGGATTTTCCAAGAAGCCTATGAAGAAGATTGTTTCTCCTTTTCCCCTTTTCCTTCTCCTCCCTGCCCCGCCTTGCCCCTCCCCATTTTATTTTTTCACAGGGAAATTAAACCTTACTAATTTGTGTTTAAAATGAGGCACTTTCACCCTTTAATTTGCCATCGTTTTCAGGACCCGTATGCAGTAATTATACGTGATTAATGGGCTGTCACAGGCATTAATAGTGAGTGAGACCTCATCTTCGCATAGGCGACGGAGACTGCTCTCTAGGTGCCTGTTATAACAATAATTAGGCTATGATTTGATGACTTTCCCTCTATGACCGGGTTGCTTGTAACACCCTAGAAGGTTGTGTCTACGGTACAAAAAAGTACCTCAAGACAAGGAATACAAGGTATTATCTACTCCACTGATTAATGTGCGTTCTGCATGCAAGAGGTGGGTAAAAAAGAACTTTTCAAAGGGCTGCATTTACCGTTGCCATGTTGGCTTGGCAAGAATATGGTTTAAGAAGAGAAAGTCAACAATTAGCAAGACTAGTAGACCGCAGACATGCCTGTCCTCCTGAACAACTGTTCCCACTAGGTGGTTCTGGGTGTCAAATTATCCACGAATCGCAGAGAGGAAAGAAGGAAAGTAGGTCACTTTTACCCTGATCGGTTTAGAGTCCACGTTTCGGCCTGACAGCTAGTCTTAAAGGCGTTTAATTCACTGTGAAGTTACTATGGCAACTATGAATAGAGCCAATGACATTCTCAGTATACACCTTAAGTCTCGTGCACTCTTTTAGCTTTGAGGTTATCATCTCTTCTTGCCAATCATATTTAAACGCCAGCAAGAAGATTAGACTCTACCTTCTGACTGAGAGGGTATCGTCGAATCCTCCGTTGCGCTCCTCGTCCCAAAACATGGTGACTTTCTCCAATCCCTCTTCCTACTACAGGAGTAAGAAACTAAGGCAGAAGGACCAATGTGGTGATTGGCAGTTATATTTTTCCTTTTTAGAGTGTATTTTCTCTCAAGAAGCAAAAAAAACATCCGAACAAAAATCACGCCTAAATCGGATATTTAAGGCATTCAAAATTTTCCCATCTTATTTCAATACGTGTTTAAATAAGTCCTCCGACCCACCAGCCAACCATCCGACCGACCGACCGACCACTCTCTGCCGATGCCGTGTCTCCTCTTTGAGGGAGTTTGTTTACCAAACTGTCGGGTACTTTCGTATTCACAATCAGAGGCATTGTCTCTCTTTGTTCTCCCACCCACACCCACCACCACCTAGATTGGGAATTCACACTTTTCATTCGCCAGTCCATTCATTCCACCGCCCCCTCCGAAAGGAGAGGAAGTCGCATTGATTCAGGCTGAATTTTTTGTTATTTCACTTCTTTGAGTGGATAAATTAATCTACCTAGATGAGTAGGTTATTTAATCTCCAACGCAATTTTATAATTAACTGATTGGATACCATCTAATTTTTCTCCTTCTCCTCCTCGATTTATTCTCCCTTTAAACCTCTTTCTTGCCACAACACCCCAGTAAAGGCAGTGGTACATTTTACTGACCAAAATCAACCAAAAAGTGGTATTTCTTATTTTTTTAAAAAAAACTGGGCCAAGGAGGGGACGGGAGGGTGACCGAGGTGGAGTTTGAAAAAAAGGGAGGAAGTGTAGGTGGCAGAAACAAAGAGAGAAGAAATACTGTATCTAGTAGTAATGGAATAACTTTTGTTCAGAGCTTCTTTTTTGTTGAATCTTATATACAAAATTTTATCTGCCATTCCACAGAGATGCGTATACAGAATTAAAAATAAGAGTTATTTTTAGTGGCTTTGTTTGTAGTACATTCATGGCAGAAGCATTTTTGCTTGTTTGTTTGGTTTCAGGACTATGGAATGCTCACCCTCTGCGAATCGGCCAATAAAAAAGGAAGCTGGAGGCACTGCATCATCTCTACCTCTCGGTAATGATATAATCACTGTCATTTACCACCTTCCAACTGTATTTTGACGGAGTGACAGTTACACCCTCAGAGATGACCACATATTCGGTGGGTGTGGAAGAGGAGGGAGGAAGAACGGCAACACTGACAATGACAGGTACATTCTTGACACTACTCATTTCCATTGGAGATGATGTAGCACCACTGAATGCTATTGAGCAGGTGGGAATTTCAACCACCGATAGGGGAGGAGATGACGGAGGTGGTACAGCTGGTGGCAGTGACGGCGGTAACGGTGGTGGTGAAGGTGGCTGAGTTGATAAAATCACCGGATCTCGTCGCTCTAGTAGCACCTCATGAACCGGTGAAGCCATGCTGGGACTCCAACTGTGTCGTTGATTTGACTGTAACTCCAGGGAATTGGAGGATTTTCGACATAAGGAAAGACTACCACTTTGCACCCGTTTACACAAGACAAAGGAGATGACGGCGAGAAAGAAGAAGAGAGTCAGAACCCCCGCAGATATACCAATAATGTGGATCCTATTCTCCATACTGGAGGGGGTGCTTCGCACCCCCGAATGTTCAACCACCGAGTTTAAAGAGGAGGCTTGAATGGTATCCACTCCATCATTTTGTAGATTATTTGATCCTCCCACTGGATTGGCTTGAATCATTTGGACATCATTAAAGGGTCTATCAACCAGAGAGATAAGGAGATGAGCCGTCGACTCTAGCGTCGGCTTTCCCTTGTCTACGGCAATCAAGTCTAGGCGATAGGGCACCGCGGTTTGATTTGGCAGAGCCTGTTTGACACTTAGCTTTCCAGTCAGTGGATTGATGGAGAAGAGATGGCTTCCATACAAGGAATGCGTAAGATGCTCGAGCAGAAGACCTGAAGCAATAATATCTTTTGGCTGGGGTAAAATTTTGTACTCCACTCCCCCATTCAACGCACCAAAGTCGGCATCGAGGGCTTGAACTCGAGAGACGATGACATCAACTCGAGCAAAGAGGCTAACCGAGATGTGGTAATCCGTAGGCGAGGGGAATTGCCAAACTGGTTGGTTGTCATTTATATCCACAAGATTGACACGAAGTAGGGATACGGAACTCTCCTCCCCGTCGGAGACGGAGATGAGTAAATCCATCCAATTGAATTGTTCCCTATCTAACCGTCCGGTGACTAGGAGATCGCCTTTCTTGGTCACCTCAAGAGGGGACACCTTTAACTTCTCTACTTTATGCGGCTTAACAGGGGCATAGGCGCCTGCCAGAGAGAAAATAAATCCGCTAGTGGTGTTGGGGGTATCTGCATCGATGGCTACAAGATGATGGATGCGGAATCCAATTTCTACCTCCTCTTCCACTTCCAGGACGAAGCAGTCTATAGTTTGATTGATCGAGTCATTGATAGAAGAGATCATCTTCTGGCACATCTTGCTCTCGACAGCCTTCAGGGCGGTTAAACGCGGTTGGTTGTCATTCACATTTATAATCTCTAAGATGACTGTGGCAGTGGCAGATGGCTGACCCCTTGGATGGATCCTTCGTTCACCGGCAGAAACTGTGAATAAAATCGAGGCTGTTGTTTCGTAGTCTAGAGGTGATCTCAACACTAGAGTCCCACTATCAGATTCCAAAAATATTTGCTCATTTTTAAGACTTGTCGACATTTGAATACACTTTCCAGTATCCACATCATCGACTACGAGGTCCATCAATTTGGTACCAACTTTTACATCCTCTTTGACAGATATTCGATACACTTCCGTGGAATCGGGGAACACGAATTTTGTGGGATACTCGTCGACATCCCGTAGAGCAATGTAGACTGTTGCCTGGGTCTCTAGTGGCGTGTTTCCTGAATCTGCACAGGTGATCTTCAAGACCAGAAAACCTGCCACCCCTTTGCACCGATCCGCTTCAACTGGTTGAATGAGATGCCTCAGCACTACAGCGTCTTCGGCATCCAACGACTTGATGGCAATTAGTCGATAGACATTCATTTGCGGTGACAGTTGATTCACTTTGGTCAGTTCGAAAGCTCTTGTCAGAGGTGACTCGTCTAGGCGACAGGTGCAGAGGGCATTACTCCCCTCATCCTTATCTGTGACGGTAAGATAAGCCAAGACAGTTGGATCCATCACCTCCTCTTGATGCTCCACAACAAATTCCTCTCTAATAGTAGCATAGGCCAATGTAGAGGCATTACTGAATGGCTTTAACTCAATAATGGGTCGGTGATTATTCACATCAGCTACGAAGATGGCAACCAATGCAGTGGCACTTTTACTGACAGGTGAGGTGGAGTTGACACCTTCTGTAGCCTCAATCACGAAGGAGTACCGCTTGGGTTCAAGTTGTGGGGCTCGAAGAAAAATTCGACCACTCCTTTCATCCACTGCAAAGGGGAATGTTTCATCCGATGACTTCTTACTACTAAGGGAGGTTGTAGGAGATATTTCCAAAGGGCGCTGAGTCATTGTCAACGGCCTCCACGATGAGAATAGTGGCTCCAACTGGCGTATCCTCATTAATCACCGCATTATAGGTAGAATTTAGGAAGGTGGGTGCGTGATCATTGACATTTTCAATGTGGACTAGGACACAGATGGAAGAACAGAGATGCTCTACGTGGTGATCCTCACAGGCTTGCAGAAAAAATTTGTAGAGTGGAACACTTTCAAAGTCCAGTGGTGCCGAGAGATAGAGTTTGGGTGCTCCACCTCGAGAGAGTAGATAGAATGGAAGATTTTCACCAATCAGGTGATAAGTTATAGGCGAGAGTGAAGATTTTAAGTCTGGATCCACAGCAGTGGGTAGATCTAAAGCAGTCTCCCCAATCGCTGCGCTTTCGGGTAGACTTAAAACCAACTCCTTAATAACTTGACCATGATGAAAGAATAGAGGTGGTGAGTCATTAATATCATCAATAATGAGATGAAGTGAGACAAGATACTTTTGGTTGATTGAGATGAGGAGGGAGAATTGGCATTCTTGAATCACTTCACCTACAACCCGAAGGGGGCAGATCACTTCACGATCTAGGGTGGTTGGACTCTCTCCGCTGGTGTAAATATCCCCGGTGGTGGTATTGATATGTACATAGGTAATCCATTCCTCTGGTGGCGGTGATTCCACACTGATTGAGCGTACCTCTTGCCTGGACAGTGCAATGCCTTGGAGGACGTTACCAATCAACTTGTTGGCCTCGGAGTGCTCAGTTACATGGAATGTCAACTCGACAAATTTTGCCTCACCAAGACAGGCAAGCCAAAGCAGTAGAACCACCGGGAGAGACAAGGGAGAGGGATACAGAAATCTGACTGGCATGGATTCGCAGATAATGGAGGAAGAGGCGGAGGAGGTAATCTACACTGCTCCATGGGGGCAAACCAATCCCGACTTAGGTGTGGAGAAATGCATGACCGAGGGTGAAGGACACTGCAAAGTGATGCGAGACTTGTACATTCTCCAAATACTTCACCTCGAGGGGCGATGTTTGGCTGTTCATTTGTCCCTTAACTTGCTGGAGGGGGATTTTAAATATGATTGGCTCATGGGTGGGGATTATCTCATTGGTCTGTGAGAACCAATCAAATGTTTTATATCACTTTGCTATCCCTCTTTGATCGAATTTAATATTTTTTCCATTTTATAAGAAACAAAAAATTTGGAGCAGGCATCTCTTTCTTCTTAAAATATAAGTACTTTTTAAATAAGGAAATGTCAGTCTTGACACAGAATGCTATCCACTAAGGCAGAGTTTCGGAAATGACAAAGCCACTAATTAATGTCAGCTAAGAAAAAACTACCAAAACACAACGTAAATGTCATTATTCCATTTTTTTGTAGAAGGCTTGATAGCTCACGTCTGGGAGATGGGAGACCTCTTTTCTAAAGAGTTGCCTCCCCGTAGATGCTGACAAAATCGGAAGTTCTAGTTGCATTAGCCCTTCTTCATCACAATTCCTATTCCATCGGCGGATTTACCGTCCAAAAAATAAATTTCCATATGAATCATCTGCCTTCAAACGGAGGTTCCTATTCAGGCGTCCTCTATTGCTGGAATACCACAGGAAAGGGGACGGGGCTAACAGTCTCGGGGCCACTGTACTGATTAGTCATTCAATGGGCCTAATGTTTTTTTTCAAAAAACTTTGCGCCCCTTTTCTTTAAAATTTCCCACAACCCGCAAAAAAAACAGCTGTCAAAAGCATTAAAGTTGCTAGACTAAATAAATCCCATTTGTAGCTTCTAAATGGAGGTCCAAGAAGTGACATGGGAGAATTGTGGAGGATTGCCTTGGACATGTGCTGTGTCTGGAACATCGGCGCGGAGTTTACGGCACTATTGTGCCTTTTCACCGGATTCCACACCTCAAAACAACCGTCTTGCGTAAAATTCCACCAACTCGTAAAAAATGGTAAATTCTTTTTTAGAGGAAAAGAAGTACTTTTTTACTTACAGCACAAATTAGCATCAAAACATTTTAAATAGGCACAAGGTAAGTATTTGAAATTTAAATATAAAAATTTTAAATGCTTTGGACGTGAGATTTTTTCAAGTTTAGGGCATGGAAAAGACGCAACAAATTATTCAACCGCCTTTTTGGTGGTTCATTCCTTGTTTTAAACCGATCTGCGTAGTTTTTTTAAATGACTGCGTATTGTACCTCGACTATCGTGTAGGTGGATTGTTGATTTCGCATTTGGATATCAATTTGAATAAGGGAAAAAAAGCAAGGGTAAGTTAAACTTTTTTTCCTTCCCTCCATGTAGTCGATTCGGGCAATGCCAAAGGCTCTTTTTCTTAGGGAAAGAGGTACTCTCATCTAGAACCCAAAACCCGAGGCTGGAGATCGAGGCACCAGGTTTCGTTAATCGTAATATGTCCTCAATGTCACTTCAACTTCCTGTCTAGAAGGAAATCATTGCTCCCTACAAAAAAAGTGGTACTTGGAGCAATTCATAGTTTTCTTTAACAGAAAGGAAACACTTGTCCATGCTCCTACTGGCAAGTTTTTATTCACTATTAAAGCTTCAATTGTTTTCATAGTGACGTACACAAGGTGGGTAGGTTTCGGAGATATGGAGAGAGGATTTTCAGCCATTAATTATTTGTACAAAAGCGCCTCACTTTTCCCTTTCTTTATTTGGCCCATCTGGGCATAAATCTCTCAACAAGTAGGCATGACTGAAAACTCGTGAGAAATGGAGACGAAAGCGATTTTTTGCACATCCATTTGCAGAATTGTAGGGTTCTAAAACCCTCTCTCTCCATCGCAGAGAAAAGGAGGAACTATGCGTGAGAGATATACCATCCATCAATTAAGAGGTATTGAAAAGAAGAGGAAGAGATTGCAATGGACAAAGTGGTGAAAAAAACGTGAACTAAAGTACTTCATTTTTGATAAGCTGACGGTGACAGCTTAGGACAACCAGACTGGATCGTCTTTTTAAGTAATTGATATACCCGTAATAACAATTTATAATGGGAAGGAAAAAGCTTAGGAGACCGATCTGTGAGGAAACAGAACCCAAAACTTCCAGTCCAGTGCCCTGTCAAGTGATTCCTGTTAATCAAAAAGGAAAAAGTGGATGGAAGTTACCTGATCTCAGATAATATACTTACTTTGCAAAGTATTTTAATCCCTTTCGATTTGTAAATCTTTAATTCTAACTGACGGAGAAGTTCCTTTTATTTAGGGCATAAAAATCGAAAACGTATAATTTATTTTTTTTCACAGGGTCGGCACCTTTGTATGAATTGTGACATAAACAATCTGATTGACAAAAAGTGGCAAAAAAAATGACCTATTTTAATAGCAAATTTACTAAATTTTCACATCGACTGAAATTGAGTTTAAAACTGCATTATTTTTCTTCTTGTTTAAATTAATTCTCGTCAGTAGCTATATTTAAATGTTTCTGGCTAGTTTGTGATTGACCCCATTTTTTGCCTATAAATTTAAGGAATTTAAGAGTTCCAGCTAAGTACTGTCAAAAGATCTCATTTTCATTTTATTGAGAAAAACCGCGCCTACGAAGTAAACAAAAGAGTTGAAGAGGACATCTCATTCGGGGCATGAGCGGAGCACACACTGATGCGAGGGAGAGGAGAAGTGTCACAAGACCGTCCGAAGATGTGCTAAAGAAGTGGAGATAATAGTAGCTCTTTCTATAGTATTACCTGTATTTAAATTTATTGGCATGGTGGTCTACTTCTTTTCTTATATAAGTAAATTTGAAGATTGGAGATGAGAAAACCCAATGCTGGAATACACAATTACCTAAAAGTATGAAAAGCTTTAATGTAACCGTTGTGATGACATATTCTCCAACGGGTCATGCGACCCCTCTCACTAGTCCGTCTAACACTTTGACTGGAGAGGCAGTTTGACACGTGCGGTTGTTGTCACACCGGGATGAAGATAACTGTCAATTTACCCACAGATTACATTAGAACGAAAGCTAGCTTAGGGAAAAATGGAAGATTTGGAGGGCTAATAGCGGCTACAGAATACCAAGAATAATCCTACTTGATGGATGAAACCCGACTTTGACTATTCAGATAGCCGTATCGCAGCTCGGCGTTAATTTAAGTGGCGCTGAATGCTCCAATCGGCACTTTGAGCTGCTGCGCTCAGCACCACTTCATTCATAAAAGGCAGTGGTGTGCACGGCAGGTGGAGGCTACACAGAGCAAGGTCTCGTATCCAGTATCGCCAAGACTGATTCAGCGGGAAGAATTACTCTTTAGCGAAATATTGACTAACGGCATACCATCTTTTATTTTTAGCATCAAAAATGGCTACGTTTTGTTTAAGAAGAGGAGGGGGTTTAAATACGAATAAAACCGTGGCTGAGACGAGGTCATTCGCCCTAAATTCGCCCTCCTCTCTCTCTCTCAGTTGTGCCAAGTCATCCTGACTTTACCACGAATGCACGCCTACAAGAAATTGGAAAATTGCTCTCTATCTCTCCCTCTTTCTTCCTCTACCCACCTTTGCCTGCCTTTGCCCTCTCTTAGGGGGGTAGAGCTGACGTGTGTAGAGGTGAAGTTTGGTGGACAGCGGAAACGGCACATAAACACACGTACACAAGAAAAGGGTAAAAAGGAGCAATGAACCGCCAGTAGAAAGTGCGAAGTGTGTGGCAATCGTGCGTACCGTTTGACAGCTAAAACAGCAGGAGGTGTGCGTATGTGTACGTGTGTGGGTTGACATGAGGGAGGAAGTCACAGAGTGATGATGGGACAGGCTGGAGACGAGTGTGGAGAAAACGAAGGGAGCTGAGATTGACGACATGAGATGTGAATCCAAGACACCCTCGAGTGAGAGAGGAATGGAGTTGGTCCACCTTTACCTAACTGCACACCAATCCTCACAAAAATTGCCATGCCCCATGAATTGACCGAGCAAAGGAAGGGAAGTGGAGAGCTTGGTGGAGAGCGGAGGGAGTCAGTCAGGGAAGGATTATATAACCGTCGCCCTGTTATTTGACATGATGTCTACTGGGTGATCGGTGTAGCTAAAATCCCTCAAAATTCCGTGTTAATCAATCAGCTAGTGACCTAATGACATATTACACTTGTGTGACAGTGCTAGGTGAAATTCGCTGAGATACAACAGAGTGTGGTTTGTTCATGAACAAGATGTCTTTCCCTCCTCCACCCCTCCACCCTCCACTCAAATGAGTTAACTCGACAGTCATTATTCTCAACTTGGAAACCATGTTTGGTGATCCAGCCTAAGCTGTCATGTCAGAATTACAAAACAACATTGTAAAACCGGAATATTAACAGGCTTAGGACAAATTTTATAATGTGGTCGCTAATAAACTAATTAGTAGTGGGTGAATATTTTGTAAATCGATGGACTATAATTAATAATACAGCATTTAAAGTGCATTTTTAGGCTGAGTAATTAATAACAAACTTTTCCACTTTTATGATTTTTGCCTTTGAAGGACAAGTTAATAAAATTCCTTGATCTCAGTGTCAGCACAACTCCCCGCCCCGCCCATCAGATCCCTTTCCTAACTATCTTTAGCCAATAGGAAATCGCTAATTTAGCCACTTAGGTGGTCTGACTTATGCAGCTTGGGGAGAAGTTAAAAGATCCTCTTAATTAACCTGCCTTACACCTAAGCAGAGTGACAAATTTTCTCATTTTTTGCTCCTTAAAAAGAGGGCCCATTTTAGAGCCTCTGGTAGACACGAGAATGCGGCATTTTAGTAGCGGAAATTTTTCTTTACAGGAATTTATAACTTACGCATTTTTATTCCCACTCCATTTTTATTCCTCCATGTTTACTGAGGCGCCAAGGACCGTACAATTCGAAGTTGTTATCACCCGGCAATGACATTCCATTTGATGAGTAAATTTAAAGGTAAAATTACGATTTTTTTCTCATTTCTTTTCCTTCTACCATCCTTCACCCTCTCTCCGCCTACCTCCGTACACACATCCTTAACCCCGCTAAAACTTACCTCCTTCATGAGGAAGAGGAGAGAGGAGGCGAAGGTGAAGAGGAGGTGGCAGAGGAGGAGGAGAAGAAGGGGGGGAAAACTTGCCTTGCGTGAAGTTGTTCCGAGTGCATAAATGATGTGCTTCTCATTTGAATGACTTGATGAACGAGCTTGCGTCAGTGGCAGAGATTTAGTTTGAGTGTAGGGAGAGTCGGGGGTAGGGAGGGGGGCAGCAAGCCGCAATGGAGTGGAGTGCAAATTCCTCCTTCTGTAGGGTTAAATCAGGTTAAATCCGAATTGCAAGAAGTTTTAAAGACGGAAAAAGTTAGTGAGGTTTCTACTGCAGCTTTTTGTCTGTTTGCATCCTAACTTGCCTGTCTGCTTGGCTGACTGCCTGGATGCAGTTGTTGTTTATGCGCCTGGACTGCAAAGGCATTGATGGTCCATCGGTTCAATTCCCTCTCAAATAATTTGGGGTTATTTCTTAAATCCTCCCATAAATTGTCGGACAAATGAGTGTAGTGGAGATGTGTTGCATCTGGTGCCCACTCCGATGTTTGGTTCCGGATGGGGCTGACTGGCCGTAGACAGAGATGACTTGAATGGTAATTAGTGATGTCAAGAGGGGAGACTGGTGGCATGTTGGTCAAGCCCTCCACTTAGGCAGGACTCCGAGATGTCGCATACTGCTCGTTGATCAAAAAAGTATTGCATCGACACTTCAACTGGTGAATGCGGCGTCCAAGTCCTTCCCCTGCCTCCGCGCTTTCCCCATTCACCTGAAAGATGTAAACAAGGGATGACTGAGTCCTCTCAACAACGAGAGAGGTATACTGGCCAGAGTCTGCAGAGGGTGCAGTTACGTCTCAACTCGCACATTAATAATGCGAGGGGTAGGTTGCAATCCCTCTCCGCCTTCCCCCTCGATCCGACTATCCTACGAGCCTATATTCCGCTTGTCTACCCTGGGTCGACATCCATACTTCTGGTAGGACTGAAAGGAACCTAGAAGAGAGGAACGAAAATCCGCGCGTGACACTTGGGATCGACTATTCGAGGCATAGGTCGATTTGAGGAATTATCGCACTACTAAAGCGAAAGTCAACTATCAAGATGGAATTCATGAAGTTTATCCAATTTAAAGAGAAGGGCAGTGTTTTCTTGGTCCTATCTCCACTATTTCTTGTTTGCCCTTTACCATCTGTCAAGGTGATTGTTTACTACCAAATAGCGTGCAGATCGAGGGAGGTCGGAGGTAGGGGGAGCGGGAGAGCAGTGCTGTCCTCCATCCAGTCCCATCAAGAAGTGTAGATCTCTCATTTGTAGACGATCATTGCTACCTTCTCAATGCTGGATATAATTAATCTTAAGGACGATTCTAGGTCTCCCACCTTTCGGGAGAAGAAAGGGCTATGATAATTGGTGTTAAAGAGAGAGAGGAAGAGCGATGAAATATAGCGGTGGATTTTGTCCTTTCCCCAGCCTTCCCAGTCCTTCCATCACCCGCCTAGAAATATGCTAATTGAAACAACCCTCAGGGTTGAGCGAGCTGTACAAAGAAGCCCAGTTGGTGCGCAGCCTAATTTGCCCATGGATGCGTGTGTAAGGGGAAGCCATTTTCTCCTCTCCTATTTAAGTAAATCCTGTGAATGTCAGCCTGTCACTCCTGCCAACTTACTAAAAATTTATTTAATATTTTGTGGAAAAAGGGGTCTGCCTCCTCCTCGCCAATCTCTGCCGGTGGACAAATAAGACCTTTTAGGCTAGGCCATTTCGGGGGGAAAATGCCATTCTAGTTTTTTTTTTTTTTTTACTTCTATAAGAGGATGAGACTTTGGTATAAGATGGTGGATTTCAAAGCCTCTTCTGTTCAGCTTTTTTGGCCCTTCTCATAAAACCACGACGTCGTACTCTTTCCCCACTTTCAGAGGGGGGTAAACCTAGGAACCAGTTCCAGGGACAATGCTGATTTGCCACTTTTCGAACGGGTAACTCCACTCCCCCAGGGAACATTTGGCAAGTGATGTTAACACAGGTTTTCTCCTTTTTTGTCAAACCCCTACTAGTCGATTGGAGGATGCATCCAAGTGATGCTGCATCCCTACCTTATCAAAGAGTCTCATATATCTGCATATACCTTTTTCTCCAAAAGGGTGTTCCCTTTCGGGGGGAAATGGGAGAGGGGCTTGCGAGGGTCTAGATCCACCGGAAGTTTAGTGAGCTATGAGCATGAAGTAGTCGTTTTAGTGGTCCAGATATTATTCTCACAGGTTAGGGGCTTTTCAGCCCTCCTCTGTATTACCCCTCTACACTGATATGTTCTATCGCCACGGTTTCGATGACTCCGAGTGTTTCGTAGGTAAAAGGGTAGAAGTTTAACCCTTCAAATTCCCCCATCTCAGCTAAAGTTCGGTGGATATAATGGGGCTCCAAAATCGATCACTGTATGTTTTACTTGTCTTCTCTTTACCTCTTCTAAAAGGATTTGTGGGGGTAAAATTAAACTTTATTATTTCGGGCCACCTTTTTGTACCCCCTAGATGTCATACGTGACAGAGGGTACAGTAAACACTGACACGAACACACCGAAAACAAATCCACATGGACATTTGTCGAAGGGAAGAAAATGGAAGAACCTCACTTACGTCTCCTCGTACAAAAAAGATGAGATTAATTTTTGTATTCAATGTAAAAGGCAACGGCTGATGACGATGATGCTAGGCCCGATATTTACTTTCCATAAAACGACCCTCCATGTAAGTTCCGTAACTTTTAAGTAGTAAACGTGAATGTGCTATATTCGATTGTTATATAAAATATTTCAGTGAGTAGAAACCAGTTCTTGTGGACCATCCTCGTGGCCCAGAAGGTGCCATCTACCCTGGAGAAGGCATTGAGGAGGAGGGCCAAAGTAGGAGGAGGAGAAGACCTTGGGGAGAAAGATGATTAAAGAAAGACAGGGAAAGTCTAAAACACGGCAAATCTTGGCCTACATTTCATTTTTTTCATCAAAATATTCATGAATGGGAGAAAAAGATTAGCTACATAAAGTCTGATAACCATCAATACGAGATAATAATCTTAACACTGCGCTACCGCCATAAAAGCATTTGGCCAAAATAGCTCATTCATAAGCGCCCGTCCGATTGTTTCAAAAACATAATTTTTGAATAATCCCATTAGCTTCAACGACCCTCCTATTCCTGCTTCCTTCCTTCATTCTTGCCCTCCTTTTTACTCGTTTTACTGGCTACTTAGTCGACACTGATGCAGAACAAATGGTGTTGGTAAGGTTTAAGTCGAAAAAAAAGGGAAAAAAGTGGGGAAAAAGTGGAGGAAGCAGAGGAATATGCAAATAGAAAGGCTTACTGCTGTCCAGTTGAGAAGCCTTACTGTTGGTAAGATTTAAACACAAGTTCGTTGGTTTTTCCCTCGCATCCCGTCCGCGCTCCAGCGCTTTCCAACCCTCCTCCTCCTTCCTCTGAATTTTGACTTTTGGTGGTTAAGGCAAATAAAAGGGCCGAATTTTTGTTATGAAATCGCGCGGTTTTATGTCAGACGTAGTTAAAAAGATGAAGGAAAATGCAAGTCCATTTCGGGCACTTCTTGGATACGTGTGGGTGTCTTCCACAGAATATCAGCTCTTCGACGCATCTATAGGCGTGGGGCTAGGCGGCGTTATATCACCTACAACCGTCTAGCTCAGATATTATTCTTTATCATTAAAATCAAAACGAATTTAGCGCATAAAATTAAAACAGAAGTAAAGCAACTTTTTCCCTCAATGGATTCAAAAGTGCCATAAATTATTGCCAATCATTCAGATGCAATCTTTGACTTATCGCTAAAAATAAGCCTAAAATTAAGGGACTTATAAATTAGAGTAAACAAAAAACCCCCCCCATCCCTTCCTTTGGTTCAAATAACTCTCACCCGAGAACTTTCGATTCAAGGTCACTCCTCGTTCTCTTTTTCTCACCCACGTTATCCCAAATCCACGTCAAAATATGGACATCTATTTATAAGAAAGAAAGGAGACGGGGTAGGGAGGTGTGGGGGGGGGAAAGGCGATAAGACTTTGAGGTAATTATTACTGTCAGTCATCCTTTTAACACCGTTTAATTGATAAGATAGCGCCACTGCCTTTTCTCTTGGCCTTCCTTTGTTTAAGTTAATGGGGGATAAATTAAAGGTGATACATCAAAGGGGAAGAAAAAGGCGCTTCGATGTTTCAAGTGGGCGAAAAAATAGGACGAGATAAACAAAGAATTACCACTGCTAGAGAAGTGTAGCATCCCGAGACTCCCTAAAGACGAAAGAAGACGAAATACTCGGGCAGAATATGTATCCAGCACGGAGAAGGTGTCCGGGCTATTGGCATGGCCCAAAAGGCCAGCCCACCCAGCCGGGTACAAGGGGGCTAATTCAAAGTACAAAAGTCGCGCCTCACCAAAACCGAGGGATAAACCACTATTGTATTACAGAAGAGAGAACACACCCACATGCAAGAGGCCAATAACTCTGTGAATTTCTTAAACAATGGCATTCTGAATGATCGCAGATATAATCGAGATGGCAACCAGAGTAAGAGAAAAAAAGAATGTTATAAAGACCGAGGCTTTCAAAAGTCGAAAATGTGCATATAACCAGAACTCTGGGTATCTTGCCTCGCCGTCGTTAAGCCGGAGTTTTGAACACCCCGAGCTGATCCCATTCTAGCGTTCTAATTGGCTACTGACCAATCAGAGCGAGGGAGACATGGCGGTAGGCCTAAGGATCCAGTGTTTGGAGAGAAATACTCATCAGTCTATCGGTATAATCCTCCCCCTCATCTAAAAGCCTCGCTTCTCACCGGACTAGCCTGATGGATTGGATTCGAGCTTATCTACTTGTACCGGCTACTTCCAATAGTGGGGATAAAGTGCTGGAGGAAGACCTTCTTCTTGCGTCGAGAATAGCTTTCAGGCATGTCTGATGGGAATGAGTGATGAAAACAAGCATCATGTCACCTCTAAAGGGCCCTGCATGCTCTGTGTGTGTGTATGTGCTGACAAAAGCATTTACGATGAAGTGGTCATTGGTTGAAGGCCAGATAATAAGGTCAGGTAAGGCGCATAAGGAGTCGTCGAGAGGTCAACATTTGACAAGACCCTCGGAGAAAAGTCTACACTTGGTGGTCGACACATATAGGCTAAAGGAGATGACAAGAGCCTAGACTCGTTATTTCTGGGCCCCCTAGAGAGGAGAAACCAGTTCCTCTAAAGGCGTTATGATCTTGAAGTTGCCTTCGTCTTAGTCACACAGGAGAATTTACAGGCTAGCTGAATGCGTGACATGAGAAGTACATTCTACCATTGTCAAAACCTCCTGGTTTGTCGGCTCCGCCCCCGCGTATTCACTCCAACACCAGTTTTAATTCTCCAGAAGTTAACGTTTTTCATGCCTAATTGCCGAGCCCTCTAAAACGTCCAGTCAAAACTAACAATTTCGTTCCATCTCACTGATTGGTCAATTTCAAAGTAAAAACAGGGTCAAGGCCAATCGAAATGGCTTAGATGAAATGGAATGCGATGTGTTTGTTGTTATTTGGCGTGAGCTGGGATTGTGTTGAGTTCCCCACCATCTTTATGGATAGCTCACCCCATTTGCCTCCACGTCGTATTTCATCAGTCCAAGGGGAGAAAAAAAATAAACGTTTCCCTAGTGGAATTTACCCAGTCAGTAGGCAATGTGACAACCAGGTAAGTAATCGAGGCGTCTAGACGGGAAAATGCCACACAGTGCCTAGGCGGTAGGCGGCTCTAGGAGGGAAGGTGGGAGGAGGGGAGCCGGCTGGAGTGCTAATTATGAAATTGCATTAGTTAGCGCCACCAATTTCGTCGTCGTCATCGACGTCATGCGGTTTTGGGAGATGCGTGTCTAGGTGCAACAAAGGCTTATCAAAACCGCGAGCATTATGGCCTAACCAATAAAAATCGCCACTATGGCGACAAGCTTTGGCGTCACATAAACACACACGTCCAGTTGGTTAGCCAGCCAGCTAGATATGGAGGGTGGCATGAAACCTCTCATGCTCCCTTGCTCGGTGCTTGTGTGTCAAGACTTTAAGGCCTTCCCTGCTCCCTCCCTCCACCTTATGCGTGAGTGAACGAGACAACTCATGCAGTGAAATCTGCCGTTGGGAGGGAGAAATGACAGAACTTGCTTTTCCCCCTTTTACTAACTGTGGGGTGGCGCGTCAACTGGATACGCTATGAAGTGTAGGGGACAGCTCGCAAAGTACTTGGGAAATGATGTGGCCACCAATTCTCAACCCTCCTTGAGGATCAGGTAAACGCTTTCAGGACGATTTCTGGGGACGCTTGACGAGAAGTTGCGCTGGCACCAAGTATGAAATCATAGGCTTTTCAAGGTGAGGAAGGGGACTGAACACTTAGGTGTTAAGAGCGTGAAGTATTGAGGATAAAATAAGTGCATGCAAGGAGAAAATCACATAAATGGAAAGATATTCCCATTCTTACAAGACAAAACTAGCTTGAAGACATTTCAAAAGTCAGAAAGGCAGGCATTAGTTGATCAGCCAATAAGAAGAAAGAACTCAAAGGATCCGCACCCCCGCCCCCACCACTCAACCACAAACTTGCCCTTGAGAAACTAACATTATAGGGAAGGGAAGAAGGAAAAATATGAGCCTACCTTTTAGCCTCTTTATCTTGGGATTAAACAAACATGGGCATGGGAAGTGGATAGTTGAGAAACACCGCAGAGACAAAAGATACCACCATGTTGCGGTTGCTGTATCATAAGTCCTCGGAGGAGAGACAAGACTTCAAAACCTCTGTTGTGCATTTAGAGGGTGTGTTATTTGACAACTGACAACTTCATCAATATGGAAGAGTAAAAGAAAAAGACCTAAGAAAGTAAATAGGTAAATTATTTTTCTTCCAGTTCTTCCTCATCCAATTCTTCCCCACTCCCTGCACCGTTAAAAATCTCCTCTTCTTTCGATGATCGCACAGCTTTGCCTTGTTGAAGCAGCAGTGCTTTCAAATCAGCTGAAATGGTGGGACCTAAAAGTGGAAGTCAGCAGGAAGGAATTATGAGGAAAGTTTAGCTGAAAACCGAGGTACCTAATGTTACAAATTCTGCCCGCTGCATACACACTCCCATAAACAAGGCTGGATGATCTGCCATTAATGAGTTCCATGAATGCCACGCCACACTAGCCCCAGTTTAGTTCTAGGCACATAACTAACATCTGCCGTGTTAATTGACAAGTCTTCCTATGTCTGACAAGTTGACTGCTCTTGTAACCAAGGTTGAGAGCTGTCAACCCTGAGAGCTACATCCACGGCCGATTGGTCTGTTGTGTAATCCCACGATAGCATCAAACATGCATTTCACAAGCTGGATGAAGTAACATTCCACTCCCACCAAAGTAATCCAAGGTTACTTGCAATTCAGTCATTTCCGAGGTGAAAAAAGAATAAATTTCTTGTGATACTTACGCCTTATGGATATTTCTTGAAACGCCTCGGTTGCAATCACTCAACCATCATCTTCAGGATTAGCAACATCGAGAGAATGAGAGGTACCATCTGATCGTACTTGTGTGGACAGCGCTTTCGCCGTCCTGATGAGAAGGTTGAAATGTTAATTATGTAGTAGGAGGCGTTTTTTTAAATCTAGGGACAGGCGTCGAGGCGCCTCTCCCCGAGAGGCATCACGTTTGTCATTCTAAAGGGAAAACAAGAGCCGTATTAAATAATGGAGGCAATGTTGATGATAAAAAATTATAAAAACTACTTGAGCATTCAAATAACTCCGAGAAGGATTAGCTAACCCCACCTCTCCCTTTGAATATAAGCCCAATGATTTGGAGGAAACGTGGATTGAAGCGGACGCGAAGGAAGTTCTGGCGCCAGGTATAATAAAAAAAAGTAGGTGGAACAAAATTAACTAATTAATTATTTCCTTGATTTTTACCGACGGTTTGTGGTCTCTTACCTTCGTCAAGGAGAATAAGCAGAGCAAAGTCTTGTCCACAAGAGCCAACAGACAAACATTTCATGGCTGAGGAGCCTACTCAACTCCTACTACCACCACTACTCGTCGCTGCACTTGGCCGCTAGTCCACAAAACGCGACTGAGTTAGAAAGTAAAGGATTTGGGGTCGTTTAAAATACTTCTAACATGCATGGAGGAGTTTTTTCCCCTTTGACCACTACAGTTGACTGAGCATCGGTAACGAAAACGCAACAGTTGGAGAGAAGTTTCACGGTTTGATAACCAAGGGAGGCAGTGGTCGGTCGGTCAGCAAGTAAGGTGATAAAGAGAAGAAAAACTTGTATTTGAAGAGGGAGGAGAAGAAAGCAGGGTTTTTTCTGATTTCAGTTAAAAAGATATCTCCTCTGATTAATTCCCCATGGTAATCTCCAAGTAACTCCTTAATCGTGGTACATAATTCTTCATCAGTAGGCAAGACCCAAGAGGGGCTTCATCAAAGTGAGAACTTTAGTGATTCATCTCCCTCCCCCCCAATCTGGGGAGAAATCTTTCAAGCTGACTCCGAGCTGTGCAATCATGGACCGCACTTTAGCCAGGTGCTTTCTACGACGGATTTGACGAGAAGTTACCAGAACCTTGGAACCCTTTATGAAGCAGACAGACTTGAATCGCTTCCATCGACTTTGGCCAACCTTTGGTGAAAATCGGAGTCGAAACACGAGGAAGGTAGGAGAGAGCGCACCAGAGCCAGCTGCATCGGATAGACCAAAGGCGATCACCGAGGTCCTAACCAACCTCCCGCACGATTTTCGTTTCTCCATCTATTACCATGTTCTCCAAAAAGTGGTAAAATGCGCGACAACTCTGTACCCACCAAAACTATTTAAAAAACCATGGAAACGAGAAAAACTTTTTTAAATTATAACAAAAATGAGGGAAGGAAGAGAAGAAGAAAGCTGTACAAAGAAAAACAGCAAGAACACCTTTAGTGAAGCAGAGCTGCATGGAGACGAAAAGGGACAAAAATGGAGGAAATTTTACGATCATGGAAGAGGAAACACGGGTTCTCATAAATGCTTGATGATTTCTATGCACATACACACACACGGAAAAAAATGTATAAACTTTTTTCCAGAAGAATTTTCTCCCTCCTCACGAAAAGGCAGAGAAATTAAAAACAGGAAATTAAAACTCAAAAAAGGCAAAAAAATTAAGTTTAACAAAGAACTCATAGGTGGGAGCGCACCAGGTCAAAATTTGGAAAAAAAAAATAAACAACGAAAAGCAGAGGGTCGGTAAAGGCCTGAGAAGCACGCAAAGGGAGGAAGGGGGTAGGTTGTAGGAGGGGAAAAACCTGCTAGTAAACAGGAAATTTAAAAAAGTAGAAACCATATTTATAAGAAACAAAGAAAAAAAATCATGCGAAAGTAATACGTTAAATAAATAAATATTGCTCGAAGTTCTATGAAATTGGAAAAATTTGAAGCGGAGAATTTCGTGTAGTCGCCCAAAAAGGTAGGGCGAGAAGAAGGGTGGGGCGGAGGAAAGAACTGCGCTTGAGAATTGTGGCAAAAAAGAAATGAGAGAGTCTTGATGAAATAAATCAGTCAACACAGGGTGACATCTTGCCAGAGATTGACAATTTGGCAGGCTTGGATACATCAAAAGGCAGTAGATTGATAAATCAGCTCTAAGGGCATTTATTTAAGGCCATTCGGGAGAACTAATAACCCAGACCAAAAATGAGGGAGTCGGTCAGCAAGTCAGAAGATCCGCCCCAAATTTGCCACTAAAAAGGGGGGAGGCGGGGAGGGAAATAAATACTATGAAATGAAAGTAACCGCATGTATTTTTCCTTTTTAACAAAGAGATTCCTTTATTAAAGGTTTGAGATAAAAGAAATAAAGGAGAGAGAAATGCCATCACTTCTCTTTTGAGAAAAGAAATGCCTTAACCGCAAGGCTAGCGGTGGACAAAAAAATTACTTCTTTACCTTGTAGTAAGTTGGGAGTTCAAAAGACTTAAAAATTCTTTCAATAAACTTATTTTAAAAAAGGGAAACAAAAATTGTTGTTGTTAGATATCGAAAAGGCGAAGAAATGTCGAAGGTTTCTAAATCAACCAAATGCCTGTTTTCTGCATTTCCCCTCCCTTCGCCTCCATCCTCCAAGAAAAAAGAGCGGGGAAGTGGAAGTGCATAGAAATGTATACTGGTGAGGGGGAAGGACTCCTTCCACAGGTGGATTAGACAGGCCGTAGAAAAAAAGGGCGGGGAGAGGATTAAATTGTGGACGAAATTTACTATCAAAAAACTTAGCTCATTTCACCAGGTGGAAGTAGAGGAGAAAAAGGGCAGAAGTTTCCTATTGAAGGTCATGCAGAAAGGAGGTGATTTTGAAGACGATGACGACGAAGAGGTGGAAAGAAGAGGGAAGCAAATTTTCCAACTACAAAAAAAAGGAGCAAAAAACAGGATGTTGAAAAGGAAGGAAAGACGAAGAAGTGTTGAAAATCTCCCACCTCTCAAATTGCATCAATGACAACACAGCGGAGGCTTCATTTTGCTTCCCTTTAACGAGCCAATTTTTGGGCGCCAAATGAAAAGTTATCACCACAAAAGAAAATGTGGTTTAAGGCAATAAGCATTTCAGTGCCCCTTTTTCCAAGGCGACAGAACCTAAGGGGAAAGAGGAGGGAGTACAAAAAGGTTGCTTCTGCTTTTAGCATCTGGAGAGAGAAAATTGGATAATTCCAGAGTGGATAAAAACCTGCCAACTTTATAACAACACCCCAAATGCCTCAAAGACTAGCTTTATTTAAGGGATGAATCCAAGGGAAGTTCAACATCTCCGAAGCAAAAATCAATGATCCAAGTCGCGTTGAAGTTCCAGAAGGTGTGGATGTGTGCGCGTGTGTGTGGACTGCAAATTCGAACAAATTCACCAAACTGGACTCTTCCCTCCACCTCTACCTTTTCCTGACAAGCAGAGAGGGAGTGAAGAAAGTTATTACCAGAAATCTGTCAAATAACTAACATTCTTATTCCCTAGTAAATGTAGATCTATTGAATCGACCAAAAAGGCCTGTTTTCTGTTTGTTCATTTGGTAAGGAAAAAACTGGAGACAGTTGTTTATTCTATTTAGCGCGAGCACTTAAGTCTTTGTATTTTGAATTGCTCCTCTTAGGTGAGCCTGAAATAACGCACAAAAGAAATAAAAGGCCTTCCAACGTTCATTTCTTCACTTTTGACAGTCATCCGGTCTTGAGATGACACCGGACTACCCGCAATATCTGCAGCATGAAAAATATACCTCCCAGTCCTATTTGAGACGGATAGGGGTTAATTTGGAAAAAAAAGATGACAAAGGAATGGATACTGATTAGTAAAGCTGTGAAATGGCTCTCATCGTTAGGAAATACTTCCTTTTGTAGTGAATGTTCCAGCCAGTTTTGAAGTCAAGACCCAAAGAGAACAAAACTGGGGTCGGTGGGGGTGATGTAAGTGTTGGAGCACACACACGCACACAAAGCTACCTAAAAAAATCCCTTCCCTGTCAATAACACTGACAGGAGAGCACGAGTAGACAGTAGGACGCTACCTCCGGCAGGAGTACAGTGGGCGATGGCAACCAAATCTGGTTCCACTTGCCAGCGATAATGATGTACACCCTAATCATCACCTTCCTCACCCTCGAATCGGATACAGTCTCCTCCAGACGCAAACAAGTGAAAGAACCTTCAGAAGCAAGTTAAGAGATGTAATTTACTTCATCTTGGAGTTCATCAGTGGAGAAGTCACTAGGATCAAAGTTAACTCGTGATTCGTACCTCGCTGAGATAAGGAACCGAGAATGAACCCACCAAGCAGCAGTTGCCTTTCTCTGCTTGACTTTATTTAGATAGAAAAACGAGCATAAAAAAGTAATAAAATTTCCAGTCGGATGGAGAGCGAGTAAAGGAGGAGAGGGGGAAGGGAGTGAGTGAGGAGGGGCGAGAGAGAGAGCACTAGAATTTATATAAATTAATGTTTCGCACACTGGGCGCAATGATTTCGTAGCTACAAAAAAGTAAACTTGAGAAGGGCAAAGCATAAGTCAAAACTCCACAAAAGATGAAGTAGTTCCAAATAATATTTGCATCAAAGTGGGGCTTTTAAGGTTGCCAATTTGCCCACATACGTCTCACACGCTGCGATTGAATATTCATTGAATCTAACAAATAACAAGACTGTAAATTAAGAGGCGCTAAAGCCGAGATCACAACAACCGGCAGACATACAGCCAGGCGAAATAAAAGACATGCACATTAAAAACGATAAAAAGTTGCCTTATTTACTGCATTACGCCTTCTGTGGCCAGTCTGCGGATACATTCCTGGACTTGGGAGATTATAAACGTACTCGTTCACAAGGCAGCTGCACGTCATCAACACACGCAACCGCATACACACACACACTCACAAGCACTACTCTCATTTGCCTGCTATCTTGATCAAGCCGTAGTGATGTAGATTGGCTCAAGCACGATTGTGACACATTTGTTACTTGCTCCTACCCCCTACCCCCTCTGTAGTACCGACCACCACAGTAGGCATGACACGATTTGACTCTAACAGCGCCTCTCTCAAACACACACCCACACACACACACAGGACCATTTCATTACCAAATGCGTGTGGAATGTAATGATGCCCCATTCGTCGGTGTGGATAGCCTTTTGCGCCAGGGTTCGTGCGAGGATAGATATGGTGCACCAGTCAAATTTTATAGCACCGCATAGACCTGGGTAGATTGCTTACCTCACTCTCCGAGGGCAGAAGAATAAATGTAGAACAAACATTTTATTACGATTCCTTCTTTCCAGTTTGTTATGAAATAATCGCCTTTTCATTCTAGAGGAGGAATTAGAGGGCGAGGGAAGGGGGGAGGAGAGTGGAAAGATATCAAATTTAGTCTCATAACTTCCCTTTTTACGGCAATTATTAAACAAAAAGCGCGAAAAATCTCTCATTTTTTCGGCCATTCCTTACTTGGAGCAGATTTGTTCGTTCTACAAAGCTCTCTA